AGTTTAATTTTGGACCCCGATTTGGACCAACTTGAAAACTGGGCCCATAATCAAAAATCTAAATACGTGTTTAGATTCAGCATATCAAAGAACCCTAAGAATTCAATTTTTGTTAAAATCAAACTAAGTTTTATTTTGGACCCTTTGGACCTTAATGTAGACCAATTTGAAAACGGAACCAAAAATTAAGAATCTAAATACACAGTTAGATTCGGCATATCAAAGAACCCCAATAATTCAATTTTTGATGAAATCAAACAAAGTTTAATTTTGGACCCTTTGGACCTCAATGTGGACCAATTTAAAAACGGAGCCCAAAATCCAAAATCTAAATACACGGTTAGATTCAGCATATTAAAGAACCCCAAGAATTCAAGAATAAAACCCCATTGAAATTGGTCAAGAAATAAGCAATTTATACGAAGTATCTTCTTTTGCACAATACTGTGCAATTAAATATTTCTTGCTATTGTGCAATACTGTACAATTGACAATTTCTTGCTATTGCGCAATATTGTGCTATTGGATATTTCTTGCTATTGCGCAATACTGTGCAATTGAAGATTACTTGCTATTGCGCAATACTGTGCAATTGAACATTTCTTGCTATTGTGCAATACTGTGCAATTGAAAATTTCTTGCTATTGCACAATACTTATTATATAATAATTTACACATCCTGTTTGGTGTGTATCTCCTACCATATCATTATTATTTGCTTTTAAATATAAATCAGAAATAACCAACTTAAAACGGAAAATTTTAAAAGAAAAAAAAAAGGAAAAAAAAAAAATCCCCCCCCCAAATTTTTTGAACCCCCTTATGATTCATCACCCCCAAACTTAATCCTCACCTTCCCTTTGTGGTATGGTACCTTGCAGTACAATTTCAGAGAGATCCATACACTTGAACACAAGTTATTGTCTGGAAACTAGAAAAATGTGTTTTTTGGCCCCTTTTTGGCCCCAAATTCCTAAACGTTTAGGGCAATTACCCCCAAACTCAAACCCAGCTTTCCCTTTGTGATATGGAACCTTGTAGTACAATTTCAGAAAGATCCATACACTTACACACAAGTTATTGTCCTGAAACTAGAAAAATGCTTGTTTTTTGCCCCTTTTTGGCCCCTAATTCCTAAAATATTGAGGCAATTACCCCCATCATCAATCCCAGCCTTCCCTTTGTGGTATGGTACCTTGCAGTACAATTTCAGAGAGATCCATACACTTGAACACAAGTTATTTTCTGGAAACTAGAAAAATGCTTATTTTTGGCCCCTTTTTGGCCCCCAATTCCTAAACGTTTTGGCAATTACCCCCAAACTCAATTCCAGCTTTCCCTTTATGATATGGAACCCTGTAGTACAATTTCAGAAAGATCCATACACTTACACACAAGTTATTGTCCTGAAACTAGAAAAATGCTTGTTTTTTGCCCCTTTTTTGGCCCCTAATTCCTAAAATTTTCAGGCAATTACCCCCAAAATCAATCCCAGCATTCCTTTTGTGATATGGAACCTTGTGGTACAATGTCAGAGAGATCCATACACTAACACACAAGTTATGTCTGGAAGTTACAAAAATGCTTATTTTTGGCCCTTTTTTGGCCCCTAATTCCTTTACTGTTGGTACCATAACCCCCAAAATCAATCCCAACCTTCCTTTTGTGGTATTGAACCTTGTGGTAAAATTTCATAGAGATCCATTCACTTAAACTAAAGTTAGAGTGCGAAAACCAATGTGTCTTCGGACGACTCCGGACGACGACGACGACGGCAACGCCATACCAATATATGACCACAAAATTTTTTTTGCGGTCGTATAAAAAAATGTTCTGATTGCAGTGATCATGGGGATTGTTCTAAAGAATAATGATAAAAAAGATATCAAATAAAGAATTAAAGAACATACTGAAAACAAAAAGAATGTTAGATTGAACATGTTGAATGAAGATAGAGAAAATTTATAAGTACAAGGGTACATTTGTACTATAAACATAATACATTCGGATGGAAAGTTGAAGAAAAAACACTTTAAAAGACAATTTCTACAGCACACAATTACATTTACGACAAAATTTATGTCGATTAAAGACCTCCTGATCTGAGTTCTTATCTCCTGACCATAATTTCCCAATCTCCTGATCTCTCAGTTTCACAGTCCATCCATCCATCCGGAGCGTCTTTTTACCACAGAACACCACAGAATACCACAGAACACTCAAAATATACCACAGAACATAAAAACAAACATTTTTGTCAGCTTTAGATTGTTGGAAAGCAGTCCAAGAGAAGTCACATGTTTTTGAAGATGCGCCACCTGGAAATAAGTCAAACACATGGTTCTTAGTTACCAATGTTGACAACATGAGTAGAAAGACAAATAACCGTATTTCCAAATATTATGATGATTGTGGCATATGGGATTCTTCAAAAGGGAAGGTCTTCCACCAAGACTACTTTTTATCAGACAATTTCCGGACCATATTTCTGAAAAATGACCAATATTGCACAAAAGTTAGACAGGGTGGAAAGACATTATTTGTACCTATAACGCCTCAACCAGAATCTACATCCATTGTTACTATGCACCGATATAGTACAGTACTTAAAGATAACAATTCTTTTATAAAACACAAGTCACATGGTTTAATTCGTCCTTTGCAAATGATTTACCATCCATTGCATTGTATGAATATTCCAGTACCTTCTCTTTAGAAAATGCAAAGAATTATGTAAGAACCCACCCAAAAACGTTAGAAAAAGTAGTTGACGAATGTGCATCAAACATGTCAAAAGATAATAAAGAGGTTTTCATACAGATGAATAGAGACAATTCTATACATGCACCCAGAAATACCAAACAAATAAGAAATGCCAAGTATCGGAATAAACTTAAAACACAGCCTGCTTATGCCAATGTTGCGGATGAAATTCTTGCTGTTGTCGGGTTGCTTGTTACACATCCGTTTGTACAACAAATTATCCACAACAAAAATCAAGTACCAGCAATAGTGTGTTACACAGAAATCCAAATAACAGATTTGAGACATTTCCTAGCACAAACGTCCGAGCATCCTCTGGGGGTTGACAGAACATTCAATCTCGGAAGCTTTTATGTCACATCCATTGTTTACAAGAACCTGCGGGTAAATAGAAAAGAAACCAAAGATCATCCAATCTTTGCAGGACCAATGCTTCTACACAAGGATGCGTCATACACAACATACAGAGCCTTCTTTTCACACATTTCTGCCACACTGGAACTAGCCATTAATGATGTAGAACTTCGTCTCCATTAAAATATAGAGTTCGGCAGTGATGATGAAAAGGCGATGACCAAGGCTATAGAAAAGGCATTCCCAACGGCCAAACGAAGATTGTGTACGAAACATTTAAAAGACAATGTACATGTACAACATTACCTTCAAGATCGTGTTGGTGTCAGCACCCAAGAAAGAAAAAACATCATCAACACAATCTTTGGAGATCACGGAATTGCATGTGCAGACGACACATTGCAATTTGCAAGGGCAGATTCAGAACTCAAGGACTTACAAAAAATGTATGCGCAAATTATCCTCAGTTCCTGAAGTATTACGAACAAAGTTTTAAGCCTAGAGTTCAAGAATTAGTTAATGCATCTAATAGACGTTTGGGCACCAAACAATTGTGGACGAACAACAATGCAGAATCCATGAACCAGGTGATGAAAGTGGCAGTCAACTGGAAGCCCCAACATGCCCCAGATTTGGTTGATAAACTATTTGACATGGTGGACTTCCAGTTCATTAATTTTCGGTCGGCCCTTCATCATTCTGGGGACTACATGCTTGTTCATTCATACAAACAGTATACTATACATTTGTAGCTGGTGCCATCTGGAAAACCAAATCAGATGAGGAAAAACGAAAGCTCTTCACTAATTTCCTACAGGACAGTAAGAAAAGAAAACATGATAATATCATAACTTCCTCAGATGGACTATATTCTGTTGTCAACAAGGCTAAGTCAATAGCCAGGAAACCTATGCAGAGAAAGAGACCAAGAACAGAAAGAGCCGAAAAAAGACATTAATCACCTTAACCATGTATTTATTGAATTGTTTTGTTATTGATGTTATCAAATTAAAATTTTCCACTTAAATTTTATCTCTCTTATTATTGAAATTTGACCAGACAAAGTTTATCTACACTTGTTTCTTGAATTTTACACTTGAAATTTGAGGAAGATACACACACACAAACGGAAATCAGTCTTCGAACTTCAATTTTCAACAATTAAATACTAATACATGTAATCTATAATTTATAGGTTATTTAAAACATTATAGTGGTAAAATTCTTTGGTTTTCTCGATGATTGGTCTTACATTAATTTTTAGTATGGACCCAATTAAAGGCCAAGTCAATTGGGGGCGTAATTAATGATAGTGAGTCGACACTAGATTGAAAATTTTAATTTATTTGAATAATAAAAGTCATATTATAGACATAATTAGCAATAACAACAACTATAATGTCTGAATTGTTAATATTTCGGAGTTCTGTGGTATATTTTTAGTGTTCTGTGGTATTCTGTGGTGTTCTGTGGTAAAAAGACGCTCCCCAGTCCATCACATGTATGTTTGTGTACATGCTAGCCTATACTCTAGTTGACAAGTGGTCAAAGGGGAGGAGTCCCATAGTGCAATAACATAGAAAGCGTATGTAAATTTTGGACGTTTCTCTTTAAAAAAGCTGTTAATTCCCTCGAGGATTGAAGGGAAAATTAACAAGTTCTACATGCATGACATTAGTCCGAGATTACAAGCTTGTCTGGCAAAACAGCCGTTGGACGTCAGAGTAATCTCGGACTAGCATGACATGTAGACTGTAGTGATGAGTGACAGAAGAAATGAAGAAAAAACATGTTATTGACCAAATAGGTGATTTAAGAATAAACAAATGTACCACTTTCGTTTAAACTATGTTATTTCCTTTATAATTTGAATTGCTGTCTACCTGATAAGTTTTCTAATTGAATGTCTCAATGTTGTCATGATTTATCAGCAAGATCTGGTCCTTGCGCAATTAATCAACTGGGGACCAGTAAGAAATGAAAAACTTCGTAAGATGGTTCTCTCTTGGAACCATAAAAAAAAACCTAATTACCTACTTAATGAATTAAAAGAATATAACGACAATGCACCATTAATTTAGATTTTTTGATATGCAAAATGTGCGTATACTTGAATATCAGTATAAGCCCATTTTCAAACAATGCATCAAAATTTTCGGAACGATTAAATAACCAAGATCTTAATCATGTGGTATTCAAAATTCCGTCCTTTTTCCTCATCGGCGTCTGTGACACTACCGAAAAGAATTATTATCGTATTTTACTTTTAAATTAGTTTGTGTTGCTCTGTCTTAAATATGATGCATATTTAATGTTTTTTGTTATTTTTATAGTTTGTACTTTTGTCGTCGTCGTTCTTCTCCTCCTCCTCCTCCTCCGCCTCATCATCATCATCATGGGCATCCTTTATTTGTAGATCTTGTCTTGTTGATATTTTTTTTGCTATTAAAAGATTATAGTATTCAAGATGATAGGCAAAAATGTGAAATACTGGATTGATGTAAGCAATTACAAGTCTAGTAATACTAGCATCTTCTTTATCATTATATTGTTATAATTACAATTAAATACTATGTATATGGAGTCTTCCGAATAAGATTTTATTTGCATTCGGGATTTGGATAGATGTTGGAATGCGTGGATGTTAGGTGTCACTTATATACAAAACATGTTATTGGTGAAACAATAGGCAGGTAAGAAACACGTGTGACCATAGCAAATTAATACACAATCTGACCAATTTCAAAGTGGGTTATATGACAACGTCGAATTAAATAGATGATGTATTTAATACTGATGCTTTATCAATTGACCGTACTAAATTATTACAGCACAAAAAAATCAAGGAAAAAGAAAACATTCCTTTAGTTTTGATATCTAAACATAACCCATATCAAGTATACGTAAAATTTAAAAAAAAAAGTATCACAAAAGACTGGAATTTATTACAGTTTAAAGAAGAATGTAAACAAAGTTTCAATGTTAGAACTACTTCTTGCGTATAGCAAACCTGCCAAAAATATCTATTGATGAAGAATTTAAATATAAAATAAAATATATCAATATAATTAATTATACATGAATAATATTTATTTTGAATTATATTAAAGTAAAAGCATCTTAAGATGACCATCCAAAGCTTTATCTGCCGAAGCACTAAAAAATTATAGGGGTCCTATCTGGCAATGTAGGATATGTTGTTTTATGGGTGTTTTATTATTCAAAATGAGTGTTTGTCAAGATCTCGTTGCTTGTGGTCCATTATTGTTTCTCAAGATGAGTGACTGTCAAGATCTCGGTGCTTGTGAGGCATTATTGTTTCCCAAGATCATGACTGTCAAGATCTCGGTGCTTGCGGTGCATTATTGTTTATCAAGATGAGTGACTGTCAAGATCTCGGTGCTTGTGATGTATTATTGTTTCCCAAGATGAGTGACTGTCAAGATCTCGGTGCTTGCGGTGCATTATTGTTGCTCAAGATAAGTGACTGTCAAGATCTCGGTGCTTGTGAGGCATTATTGTTTCCCAAGATGAGTGACTGTCAAGATCTCGGTGCTTGTGAGGCATTATTGTTTCCCAAGATGAGTGACTGTCAAGATCTCGGTGCTTGCGGTGCATTACTGTTTCTCAAGATGAGTGACTGTCAAGATCTTGGTGCTGGTGGTGCATTATTGTTTCCCAAAATGAGTGACTGTCAAGATCTCGGTGCTTGCGGTGCATTATTGTTTCTCAAGATGAGTGACTGTCAGGATCTCGTTGCTTGTGAGGCATTATTGTTTCCCAAGATGAGTGACTGTCAAGATCTCGGTGCTTGCGGTGCATTACTGTTTCTCAAGATGAGTGACTGTCAAGATCTTGGTGCTGGTGGTGCATTATTGTTTCCCAAAATGAGTAAATTTTGTCTTAACATCCTTTTTTCAATTTTTCAATTTGTTGTCATTTCAAATAAATAGTTTTCTTTTATTTCTGACATTCTTTTATCTTTACAGAGTTGTGTCCAACGAACTCATGGCCAAGTACAATATGAAGGGCACTCGAGGAAATTTTTAATTTGAATCGACAGAAATGTGCAAAGTTATTGTGGGTAGGTACATTTACGTTTCGTCCCCGAGGGTATCACCAGCCCAGTAGTCAGCACTTCGGTGTTGACATGAATATCAATTATATGGTATTTTCTTTTTTTTTTAAATTAACTGTTTGCAAAAGTAAAAATTATTCGAAATACTAAGGATTTTCTCATCCCAAGCATAGATTAACTTAGCCGTATTTGGCACAACTTTTTGGAATTTTGGGTCCTCAATGCTCTTCAACTTTATACTTGTTTGGCTTTTCAACCATTTTGATCTGAGCGTCACTGATGAGTCTTATGTAGACGAAACGCGCGACTGGCGTATAAAAATCATAAGCCTGGTACATTTGATAACTATTTACACCACTGGGTGGATGCAACTGCTGGTGGACGTTTCGTCCCCGGGGTTATCACCAGCCCAGTAGTCAGCACTTCGGTGTTGACATGAATATCAATTATATGTTTTTTTTTTTTTGTTTTTTTTTTTTAGAAATTAACTGTTTGCAAAAGTAAAAATTATTCGAAATACTAAGGATTTTCTTATCCCAGGCATAGATTAATTTAGCCGTATTTGGCACAACATTTTGGAATTTTGGGACCTCAATGCTCTTCAATTTTATAGTTACATGTTTGGCTTTTCAACTATTTTGATCTGAGCGTCACTGATGAGTCTTATGTAGACGAAACGCGCGTCTGGCGTATAAAAATTATAAGCCTGATATCTTTGAAAACTATCAATTTGTTTACTTTTTGAATATTTTTTTATGTGGTGTCAATACAGTTTGGAATTGTATTGCCGTTTTTTGTGATTTTGAGTAATTTTTGGAAACCATAGAACTAAACATGTCTGTGCTTTTGAGGTTCAAATTTTGAGTTTTTTGAGATTTTAATATAATACAAGTGTTTCTCTTAAAATAATGTTGCTTACATAAAAAAAAAATATTTCAAGATAATTTGAAAAATTTATTTTATATCTGTGTTTGCAATGTATAATCCCTGCTTTATAAAAAAAAATTATAAAGAACATTTTTACTATTCCTATAACAATTTGTAATTGAATTCAGGGGTTTAACTCTTTGCCTCAAAATTTGCTTTAAAGTTAAACATCGATAATGCAGCACTAATGTTATTAACACTAAACTGTTTGGTTTTTACATAAATTATATATTTTTTTATTTTAGTAAGTGCCAAAAAAGATGTTCCCGGTCACGGAACATGACATACTTCAGGTAACAGCAGCTTACCTAAAGTATGCACCTGATAGAATATACGGAGTGGTCGGAAGAAGAAGGCTTGGGCAGCAAATGATGGAGCAGCAGACACCAATAGAGATGGAGCAGAAAATTGACATTGATGTTTTTAAAAAATACCACATTAAAATATGTAGATTCATTCAATTATTTATTGTTTTGTTTCAACACATATTTCAAGTGTTCAAAGCTCATAGTTCAGCATTTGATTTACCTTTTTAGAACATAGCTGATTGATATTTGTTGGTTTCTCCTATATTGACTTTTCCTCTCTGTTATACATGGCTGTTTTAGATGTGCAATTATTATTGATTATACATCGGGACAGCCTTGCTTTGGATGTTCTAATCAAGTTGATCCTGAACTGTTTATATGTCCCACTGTTAGAGTTTAAGTAGCTCTTTCCACGTAATTTCTTCAGAAAAATACTTGAAATGAACGTTAGATAAAGATAGTAATGATAATTTTAGCATTTTGAAAAAGATCGCATAAATTTCAATTTTTTGGAATTATGTTAAACTTTGCAAAACCTTATATGTCCGTTTCAGGCTCTGCATATCAAGTCAAAAATATAATTTACTGGTCAAGCCCGGACAATGCGACCGTTTTTGAAACCCTGGTCAACAGCAGATTGATAGGCAAAGTAGTTGTGGAATGTTCACAAGCACTGAATGATAAGATTACCAACCTTTGTTGGAAGGAATGATTTTCTGAGGTTTTAAAGAAGTAATAACACTTATTCAGGACGTTAACTTGTATGAATTATTGTTACTTTGACCTTAAGTTGTCCAATTTAAGAACGTTAATAAGGATTTACTTTGGTTTTTAATTAGTTGTGAAGACATCTGAGGATATTTAAAGAGGTTTAATGGTGGTTTTTATGACGCTGATTAGACGTTGTATAGATATCTGAGGATATTTAAAGAGGTTTAATGGTGGTTTTTATGACGTTGATTAGACGTTGTACAGACATCTAAGGATATTTAAAGAGGGTTAATGGTGGTTTTTATGACGCTGATTAGACGTTGTACAGACATCTGAGGATATTTAAAGAGGATTAATGGTGGTTGTTATGACGCTGATTAGACGTTGTACAGTCATCTGTAGATATTTAGAGGTTTAATGGTGGTTGTTATGACGTTGAATAGATGTTGTACAGACATGGAACATCCTTATTCGGGTTCATCCTGCTGGTTGATCTGATGTTGTACCAACGTTGTACTGATATTATTAGTTACGTTGTACAGACGTTTAACGGACGTATGTCAAGACGTTGGGTTGACGTCAGTTTTTGACGTCTAAAAAATTTCAAATCCAACCAAAATCTAACGTAGGTGCAACGTTAGGGTCTGATGTCGAATTGATGTTTATACAACGTCAAATGTCTGCTGGAAATAGACAAAACAATTGGAAAAATTGGAAAAATCGTCATTAAAGGGCAATAGCTGCAATAAGAAGTCGTCTTACAGTTTGTATGTCGATATACAGAAGGTAGATCTCATCTTTCTAAACATTTTTGCCCAGTCAGATTTTCTCTATCTATAATGATTTTCAAGATAATAGACAACAACTGCATATTTAGCCATGTCGGCCAGGTTTGTCGGCAGGCGGGTTATCGGGCACATTGTTGACTAGATGCCCCAATG